TGGTGGTGTTGCTGGTAGAGCAGCAGTTATAGCATCGAACGACGGCTGGGATCCGTTCACTGCATAACCAAAAATGGGGTGTGGCTCGTAATCGAAACCTCTCTGCATATGTGTATATCACATAAACAAGCAGTTGAATTAATTCCAATTTATATAAATCCCACATTTAGAATACTATATATGTATGTATATTGTTAACATATACTTGAATACAACAGATGTATTTACCGGTTCTTTTCCCTTTGGTACTTCGTATAACTTTTCATTTAACTTCTCTTGGGCAAGCCTCTCAACCTCCTCTATGAATTGGGTGTTGATCACGGGAAAGTTGTCATCGTCGTCGACAACATTGTTGGGTAAATGGGTACTGGAGTTGGGCAGTATTTGAATTGGTACAAACTAAACAAACCAAAAAAAATAAAAAGTATAAGAATAATAGTAATTAAATGTCGGAAATTTACTGATACAAGAGTAGATGTTGCAAAGAAGATATGCGTACTTTGTCGGCTGCGCTCTTCATTAGTGCTTCTGCTTTGGTTCTCAATGTTCGTACAGGAGATTTGACAGGGATCTGCAATTAAAAGAGATATGTTAGGACAGCAGTAACCCGAAGAAAAAAAAATAATAATTATGTAATTAATGTTATAGGTAGGAAGAAAAAACAATTAAATTTCAACCTCGTTTGTTGTCTGAACATTCACATTAGATGGCATCTGAAATGGCTACAAACATATAAACAACAGAACATTACAAAAAATGTTACTGAATAATGTTAATATAATGGTTACTATCATCTGTAATATAATAACATTAGAAATGAGATATAGACAATAAAAAATATATTCGGAGAAAACAAAAACCGTCTCTTTTCCGGTGGATGTGTGAGTACTATCATCTGGCATTTCACTTCCAATACGAACTTCACTTGTCTTCCCTTTACCGACGTGTTGCTCTTTACTGGGACCACCCTATGTTATAATGTTAATGTGTTGAGATGACAATACATATTGTTTGATAATACATATTATATGTTAATGTGTTCAGATATTTAAAAAAAAAAAAAAGAAACATCTTAAAGCAGTTATATATTTGGTATATGTGTCCAGATATTATGTGAACACATACTGTAAAACTACTTAAAAAAAAACAGTTGCACAGGAACAATATGTACTTATACCGGAACTGTGACATGGACTTGGAAAAAAAATCAGAATATAAGTTAGATATAACAGAGTTTAAGTTCTACAACTATCTGTCCATCATAGATTTCATACTTTAACAGAACTTAAGTGAGGTATATGTGACCACATATTATCTGAAAACATACTATACACGATTTTAGAAAAATATTTTCACAAGTACATGGTATATATGTGGTATACTACAGATCCCAATATAAGATAGATATACCAGAAACACATAGTTGCACAGGAACATGGTATATTACAGAACCCAATATAAGTACATGGTACATATGTGGTATATTACAGGAACACATAATGTAAAAATACTTAAAATAAACAGTTGCACAGGAACAATATGTACTTATACCGGAACTGTGACATGGACTTGGAAAAAAAATCAGAATATAAGTTAGATATAACAGAATTTAAGTTCAACAACTATCTGTCCATCATAGATTTCATACTTAAACAGAATTTAAGTGAGGTATATGTGACCACATATTATCTGAAAACATACTATACACTATTTTTATAATATATTTTCACATGTACATGGTATATATGTGGTATATTACAGAACCCAATATAAGATAGATATACCAGAAGTGATATCTACTCAGTTTATATGTGTGTTATATGTGACCACATATTATATGAGCACATATTATAAAAAAAACTTAAAAAATACTTGTACAGGAACAATATATACTTGCAAATGAACAGGTAACTTAGCTATACCATAATATTTACAAGAAACAACTTGCACATTAACATGGATATGTAGCTGGAAAATATACCGTACTATAAGTTATATTTACCCAAATATTTTTTCCATTCAGGAACCTGCAGCCCATTATGTACTTGCACAGGAACATGCAGCATATCATATAATTAAGTATATTAAATGAGACGATCAATGTTTTACCATACATTCAAATATATGCAGCAATTATATGCAGCA